ATGAAGTCATAACTGCTTTGCCATTGAGTTCGGGAACACGTGTTGTCGTGAATGAGCTGTCGTTGGGCTGTAATCCACGCGACGGCCAATAGTTGGTAAGCAAACGGCGTTATAACTGCCATACTTTTAATTATATTAAAATTACAAAGTGGTTTGTTTATCAATTTATAGAACTATAAAGTTGTGAAATATGTGATGTGTTCCTGACATAAATAATAACAGAGTTTTTTTTTACTTTAGGTTAATTAATTTATATATTTATATTGTAAATTATTTCACAATTGTAATAATTAAATTATATAAATATTAATTTGCCTTTTAAAAAACATGTTAAATTGAAAAATTACTGTTTAAAAATTATACATTTTAAAATCACGTTAATCAGTTGTGCTTCTGTTTTTTGATTAATAAAATGTGCTCTAGGTGCCCATGACCAAATAGTCAATGGACAAGTTAGGGCACGGGTATAACGGGTCTGTTATCCAGTTTTAAGTAAGTTTTGAATCAAGGTTAGCAGTTAATCAATTGCTTAACTCGTATAAACGAGATGCCAAAATGCCAATGAGATGTGTGCGCCCGTGTCTACGACCCACAGACCACAGACACGGGCACCGACTCTATCGCACATGAGTTCTGATAAGGCATTTGCTTCACTCGTTTCAATACGAGATGATATGAAACACACTTTACATTCATGTCGTTTACTATTTGCCACAATTTTTATTTAAATATCAGTTTTTACTATTTATAAATGTAAATTATCTATGAATTAGATCACATTCAATATATTCTTATAAATAAAATAATTTTAAACAATTAATAAGTAAATTGTTTGTAAAAATATTACAAAATTAAATTTTTATTTAACAGTTAATTCAAAAAAATTAAAAAATATTTAATATTATTTATTACAACTATTTTGGCACAAATATTTCATTAAACAATGAAATACATTATTGTATATACAGTATTTATATAATTATTGCATTTAATCTTATCATTTATTATATAATACCAGTTATATTTGTTTTTGTAACGCTTTTAGGAATTATTTAAAGGTGAGTATATTTCTATCATAATAAAACATTTAATTTATTCACAAAATTAATGTCAGACATACTTTAATTAAAGTAACTTGCAAATTAAATATTTATAAAAGTAAATATATTTATATATATTTTCAATAAATACTATTTTTAATGAAACAATAAAAAACAAAATATAAACATTTATTTATAAATATAAAACAAGACTTTATGACTTCTCTATAATATTCAATTTAACCTTACTTAAACTGGTTTAATACAAATATATATTTATTTATTAAGATTAAATTTTAAAATGTTTATTTGTAATTCTTTTTATTAATCATCACAACTCTCTGATGCTGACAATTAAGTAAATTTAGACCATGTTTTGTTAAAATATACTATATTTAAAATAGGTATAAAGTGTGAACAGAAACGATAATAATTATTAGTCTTAAAATTTAGTTCTCAACTAACTTGTAAGTGTCGATCAAAACAATGCGCCAAAATTGGATAAAACACAAAATAGTGGACGCATATGACTCATTGGTACAATTAAACTTCTGTGTTATCAACAGAACTGTTCCAGGACATTTGGTTGCTAATATAAAGAAGTTAACAACATAGAACTTACATTGAATTTCATTAAAATTGCATTTATTGGTTTAAAATTACATACATGTTGTAAATTATATACGTATTATAAATTACATTATACATTAAATAAAATACATTATAAAAGTACAGTATTTATCTCGATAAGATAACAAAAGATAACAAATTGTACAATAAATTAAACAATCATGTAAATTATTTGTGCGTCTATTTTTAGATTTACAAAATGTGCCCTAGGTGCCCGTGACTTAATGGCCAATGGGCAATGTAGGGCACGGGTAAGACGGGTCCCTTATAGGGTTGCCAGACGTCCAGTTTTGGACTGGATTGTCCAGTTTTGGATGATCTTGTCCAGTTTCCAATGCATGGGTACAACTGGACATTGTGTCCAGTTATGAAATCTTTTGCCAAAATATGAATATTTTGTTCCGATTTACATTATTCATGTGTTTATATGATTTATATATGGTATGGTGTATATAATTACAACACAATTAGGGCTACATTATTTAGTAAAATATATATGCCTTATAAATATTCTATATAAAAACACGACAAAATTGTTATGTCCAGTTTTTGTCCAGTTTTGAAGTTGATATCCTAATGAGAATCCAGTTTTGGGTGAAATCAATCTGGCAACTCTAGTCCCTTATCCAGTTTTAAGTGTGGGGTATCAGTTAATTAATTGCTTAACTCGTATAAAACGAGATGCTATGCCAATCAGATGTGTGCGCCCGTGTCTACGACCCATAGACCACAGACACGGGCACCGACTCTATCGCACCATATGTGTACTGATTTGGCATTTGCTTCACTCGTATGAACGAGATATGACTTTTCAATCATATAAATTGCCTACACTTTTGCCATCATTTATATTCAAATTACAGCTTATATCTCACATTTTACTAAAATTATTTTTTATTGGATAAAACATGCAAGCTTATCTTACCGTTAAAACAATTAAATATATTAAGCGCGTTAATATTATGTAAGTTATTTTACTAACCATATTTTAAAATATGCATTAAATTAATTAATTCTCATAAATATAATAACATTGACAAAACAATTCTATCGGTATTGAATAGTGAAGCAAATATTTCATTATTATGTGAAACCATTCATATCATGGTATGAGTAATAAACTGTTATCTCATATTTGTTAATAAACCCTTTAACTGTGTGAATGCAATCATATTCAAAACGTTGTATTGAATGTCATGTCGTTGTTAAATATACTTAATTTTATTATTTATTTATTTGATGTAAAATAATTTTTCTGACCATGTCTATTTAAGCGCATATAAACTTATAAGATTCAATAAATTAATTATTCTACATTAATTTGTTATTAATTTTATACTGTTAAATCAAAAACTAAGCTAAATAAAAATAAACACATAATTATATTTCAATCATTACAATTAAGGTAAATGTTTATTAAAATAAAACAGTAAATTTAATTAAGCATGTACGTGTTCTTAATAAATTGTGCGCATCGATAGCCCACTAATATTGAGGCCGAAGCGGTGTTAGAGTTGGGAAGCACTGGAAATACTGATGAGTCGCAAACCCTAAGATTCTCAATACCCTTAACCCTCAACTGGGGGTCGACCACAACGTCCGGCCTCTCTATCGCTCCCATACGACAACTGCCGCCCGGATGTAAACCACTTCCCGTATTATACCGTATAAAACATTGCAAACCCTCCACACACTCGTAGGCATACTTTCCCGGACACACCGGACAGCCTATGGGTGTGAATAAGTTGGGTATTACTACATAGTTGGCAATAGCCGAGTGCTCGAGCATGAAGAATGCAAATGCCGTCGCATCTAATAGGGCCTGACTATCACCATGGTCAGATAACCAGTTAGGATCTATAATAGGCTGTATCAACGGGCTGGTCGATTAAAGTCTAATTGTACCAACACTATTAAATCTAGTTAACAATATGTACATGGTTAGTGTATTATTGAGAGGAAAAAGTACAAACAGAACGTTTGGCCATTTCCTATCAAGATTTTGAAGTGTATTATGATACAAATAACATGTGTTGAATCCGCCTAAAACACCAGAATTATTATAATATAATTCACTTAATTGCTCTAGATTAAATTGTGGATTAGGTGATATGGGTATGTATTCAGGTTTTATTGGTAAGTATATAACAACTCCTGGTTGATTCTGGTAATTGTCACCAACGGGTAGATCTAATGCTACAGGTATTCCCAAATGATTCAGATGTTGTTTTTGTCCTAAACCCGATAGCATGAGTAGTTGTGGAGTATTTATTGGACCTAAATTTAAAGTATATTTGCAGATTAATAATAAAACATTGTTTTATAAATATGTGATTATAATTACCGCCGGAAACAATGACTTCTCTGTTGGCGTAAACCGTATACGAGATGTCATTCACTATAAACTCGACGCCAATGGCTGTCAACCCATTGAACAGTATTTTAGTGACCAATGCTTTGCACACTATATGCAGGTTATCTGGATATGGGTTCGGGTCTACAAACACAGTACCCGTATCCGCCCTAAAGCCCTGAGCAGTAATAAAGGATTGAGGTATCATAACTCCCAACTGATTCGGTCCATTGATATCAGTGTCTTTAAATCCTAATTCATTTAAAGCATTCTTCATATCGTAAGTCAAAGGACTGTAATCTTTTGCCGACGATATCTGAATGGGTCCACGAGTTCCGTGATATTCGGGATTATTGGCGATAATTACTGCATCCGTATTGTTCTCCCACTCCCTGAACACCGGCAACACATCCCTATAACTCCAACCGACGGCGCCGTACGTATTGGCCCACTCGTCATAACCCCGACGATTACCCCGATTGAATATCATGTCATTATGTGCTGAACAACCGCCCAATGTTTTACCTTTATTCTCAGGCACCCAACCCCCAGCATAACTTATGCCAAAGTTATTTTTAGGTTTATTATAATAAATCCATTCATTAACATTGAGTGCGTTTCCTTCAAAAACCATTCCCGGTATATCATTATAGACAGCACTTTGAGGCCCTCCCGCCTCCAACAACAACACCCTTACGGTGTGACCGGCACTGAGTTTGTTGGCCACAACCGCACCGGCAGTTCCGGCGCCGACAACAATGAAGTCATAACTGCTTTGCCATTGAGTTCGGGCACAAGTGTTGTCGTGAATGAGCTGTCGTTTGGCTGTAATCCACGCGACGNCGGTGTGACCGGCACTGAGTTTGTTGGCCACAACCGCACCGGCAGTTCCGGCGCCGACAACAATGAAGTCATAACTGCTTTGCCATTGAGTTCGGGAACACGTGTTGTCGTGAATGAGCTGTCGTTGGGCTGTAATCCACGCGACGGCCAATAGTTTGTACCCTAGGATTGATATATCAATCATTTATTTAATTAATACCATATTTTAAGCTAAAGCTAAAACTTTATAAAAATATTAAATTTTTTTAATGAAAATTAATTGAAATATCATTTATTAACTATCAAACTATAAAACATAATTTTTAATTTACACCACATTTAGAAATAATAATTATGCCATTAACTTCATTCAAAGTTTAATCTAAATATTTAAAGTATATAAAGTATATTTTTAAAATTTATTATAATTAAAAATTTATATTTATAATAATGTACAACTAAATTTATATTAATTTAATTAAACATTTTACTGTTTAAATTTTTTCTAAAATTAAGTACTAAAATAATTTTTATAAAAACAAACACAAAATATTTACTTTACATTAAAATATAATTAAAATGTGTACATTGAATTAATTCAAACTTAATGTAAATTATAGTGATTTACAATATATTTGGCACATTTATAGCCAACCAATATAGAGGCCGAAGCGGTGTTAGAGTTGGGAAGCACTGGGAATACCGATGAATCGCAAACCCGAAGGTTATTAATACCCTTAACCCTCAACTGGGGGTCGACCACAACGTCCGGCCTCTCTATCGCTCCCATACGACAACTGCCCGCCGGATGTAAACCACTTCCCGTATTATACCGTATAAAACACCGCAAACCCTCCACACATTCGTAGGCATACTTTCCCGGACACACCGGACAGCCTATGGGTGTGAATAAGTCGGGTATCACTACATAATTGGTAATAGCCGAGTGCTCGAGCAGAAAAAATGCAAATGCCGTCGCATCTAATAGTGCCTGATTATCACCATGGTCAGATAACCAATTTGTGTCTATAATTGGCTGCATCGCAGGACTGGTAGATTGAAGTCTAATTGTGCCAACACTATTAAATCTAACCAATATTGTGTACATAATTATTGTATTATTAACAGGGTAAAATGCAATCATAATGTTTGGCCATTGCTTATTACGATTGGTGTAAGTATTGTGATATAAATAAATACTACTTATTTGGCTCAATACACCAGATTGATTGTAATATAATTGACTCAATTGATCAATGTTATTTGTTGGGTTTGGTGATAGAGCAATGTATTCAGGCTTTATTGGCATGTTTATAATAATTCCTGGTTGATTCTGGTAATTGTCACCAACTGGTAGATCCAATACAACCGGTATTCTAAAACTTGTAAGGTGCTTTTGATGTCCTAAACCGGACAGCATGAGTAACTGTGGACTGTTTATTGGCCCTAAAATTTACTTAATATTAACTCATTTTTAATATTAAATAATAACGAATTATTTACCGGCGGAAACAATGACTTCTCTGTTGGCGTAAACCGTATACGAGATGTCATTCATTATAAACTCGACGCCAATGGCTGTCAACCCATTGAACAGTATTTTAGAAGACTTAATAAATGAGACTTAAGATTTACGATTGTCTCAATATTTTTATAACAATTTTTTAATACAGTGCAACCTCTCCATAAGAAACGGGCAGATGCATAGCCAAAGTGTTTCTTATAGAGAGGGTTTCTTCAAGGGAGGTTCGAGTAAAAATGTCTAATTTTTAATTAATTTTTGAAAGATTTTATTAATAATAGCAATTATTGAAAATAATCAGTAATTTTAGTTTGTTTAGCTGTATTAAAATGAAAATTAAGTTCTTTAGTCTTAATTTTGTCCAAATGTTCAAACATTTGATCATCGGATGCATTTCTGGATATAAAATAGGACTTTAGAGTATATATTGATTACAGTATTTAATGAAACTTTAAATGAAAATGTGTTTTTTGTTTGTTTAAAGTCTTAGGTTTGAAAATATTTTGAATACTTTACATATCATGTGCTTAT